TAACATTTGTTATTAAATTGTGCATACAAGTTATTTTTACCTATTTTGCTTTTCACGTTCTAAAAAACTATTTAATACATTGAAAGGATCATAATCCAAATCTTCAGGTAAAACAGCTTGGGCCGTTTCTGCTACGAGGGATTCGGAATTTTTTTCAATTTCCAAGTCAACGATTTCATTAATTAATAAGGTTGTAGTATCTGACGAAGTTTCATCATCACTTATTTGATCCTCCTCATAACTCATAATATTACTAACTGAAGATATATTACATGCATCTCAAAGATCAGCTTCTGTTAATTCTTTATCGGAAAAATTTAGCTCACATTGGATGTTCGTCATGTAATATGACCTAATTTTAGACATTCCCTCTAGCCTGTTTATATTCAAATTAGTGCGACGATCCCCTAAAATCCATTTTAACAATGAGAAGTTCCTTTCGCAGCCCGCTTGTGTAGGATTAATTGAAAAAATTCTATAAGCTAACTCAGCTAAATGTCGAGGTAGATTTTTAAAAGACCCTCACCAAATTTTTGGAGTATCTATGCCCGGAACATAAGGAAGATCAAATGGTGATAATCGTGCATCAAATTGTCGCATTTGCGCAATTAGTTCTTCACCTTCTGACTGAGTATGCCCAAGATTTTGCCAGAGCTCAAGAGATGTAAAAGCTGCTTTATGAAACCCGTTGTCTTTTAGACCTTTTTCTAAAAAATTATAATTTTTTAAAATTATATACTGTATACACATAAATAAAAAATTAAAGTATATATTGACTAAAATAGAATAGTTTTATGGAAAATTATAAATGGCGACCTGTCACCATAGCGACCCCTATATGATCGACCAATCATTTTTAGGATTGGTGATCATATATAAACAATGATTATTGTTTAATAATCATTGTTTATTTTTTTATTTTTTTTTTTATTTTGCCTTTTATTTTCTTCGAAGTTGGAGTCGTGCTGTTAAAACGTTACTGTGCCAGAAGTTTTTTTTTCTTTTTTTTGTTTCCTTTTTTTTTTGCCTTCAACTAATACTTCTTTTTTTTCTAGGTCGGAGTCATCTTGGAGTCGTCTTGGAGTCGTCTTGGAGTCATCTTGGAGTCATTGCTGGTAGAATGTCGTAATGTAATTTCGTCGTTTCGGAGCCGCTTTCACTTTTTGCTAGAAGCTTGCCTTTCATCAGGATTTCGTCAGGGCTCCGCCATCTTATCAGGGGTTTTGCATTTCGTCTTTCACCGAGAAGTTTTTTTTTTCTTTTTTTTTTATATTTTTTTTTTTTCCGCCTTTTAATTGATATTTTTTTTTCTAGGTCGGAGTTGTTGCTGGTAGAACATTGTTTCGAAGTCGTTTTTGCTTTTCGCTAGAGGCTTGGGTTTCCGGGGCTTCGACATTTCGCCAGAGGTTTTGTCTTTCGTCTTTCACCGGGAAGAGTTTTTTTTTCTCTTTTTTTTTTTTGGCATTTTTTTTTTCGCTTTTTAATTAATATTTTTATTTTTTTTTAGGTCAGAATCATTTTGGAGTCGTTCTCGTTAGAACATCACTGTGTGATTTCGTCGTTTCAGAGCCGCTTTTTTCTGGAAGTTTTTTTTTTCTTTCTTTTGTTTCTTTCTTTTTTGCCTTCAACTAATACTTCTTTTTCTTCTAGGTCGGAGTTGTTGCTGATAGAACGTCGTGGTGTAATTTCATCATTTCGTAGCTGCTTTTGCTTTTCGCTAAAGGTTTGCCTCTCGCCAGTGTTTTGCTATTTCGCCAGGGCTTTGTATTTCGTCTTTTACCGGGAAGTTTTTTTTTTTCTTCTTTTTTTATTTTTTATTTTTATTTTTTTAACTGATTTTCTTTTTGGTTTGGTCTTAGTTGTGTGATTTCAGCGATTTGGAGTAGCCGTAGTAATTAAAACGGCAGATGATTCTTGATTTTAATAAGGTGGGTACTTGAGTTTAACAGCGGGTAGTTAGTGAATTAAACAGCAGGTGGGTTAGTGCATTAAACAGTGGGTGGGCTAGTGAATTAAACAGTGGGTGCTTAGGAATCAACAGTGGGTCTGTATAAAAAAAGTTTTTTTTTTTAGTTTTTCGTTTTTCAGAAGGTTTTTTTTTTTTGTTTTCAAACTAACCTTTTTTTTTTCTATGAATAAGGTAGCTGCGCAACGCAGTTGCGTTAAAACCAGAAACAGGAGAATTCTGATAAATTGTTTATTCACCAACTCATCGAATAGTTTAGGTTTTTATTATATAA